GGATTGTTTAGTCTGCAGAAGAGAAGAATGAGGGGGGATTTGATAGCTGCTTTCAACTACCTGAAAGGGGGTTCCAAAGAGGATGGCTCTAGACTGTTCTCAATGGTAGCAGATGACAGAACGAGGAGTAATGGTCTCAAGTTGCAGTGGGGGAGGTTTAGATTGGATATTAGGAAAAACTTTTTCACTAAGAGGGTGGTGAAACACTGGAATGCGTTACCTAGGGAGGTGGTAGAATCTCCGTCCTTAGAGATTTTTAAGGTCAGGCTTGACAAAGCCCTGGCTGGGATGATTTAACTGGGAATTGGTCCTGCTTCGAGCAGGGGGTTGGACTAGATGACCTTCAGGGGTCCCTTCCAACCCTGATATTCTATGATTCTATGACCACTGACCTACTCGGCTGCCTTGGCCATCAGGGCTGGTGGATGGGGGCACCCAGTGAGTCTCGAGTGCAGGGTGCCAGGAGTAGAATTTGGAGTGGGGATTTTCACACACCCATCAGAAGCTTTGGAATTCCCCCTTAGCCCAGCCTCGCCATGGTACAGGAGGTGGGGTTGCTGCCCGAACCAGTTTCTCCCTGCCAGCTCGGCTGGCAAGACATTGAAATAGATCCGAAATACGTCTGAGGACAGAATGCAGTCATTGTGCTGGCCTCGGAGGCAATTGGTGCTCTTGGCATTGGTGGAATGATGTCATTGGTTGCCTGGTAACCTGGGGTGGCACTGTCTGCATGGCGGTGCTGTCTTTGCCCGTTCAAGTCGCCTGCTCTAGAAGGTTTCACCTCCAGGGCGGAGCCATCGCTAAGCGTCGTCCCCGGGAGCGCATGGCAGCGGGCTGGTGACATGGAGCGGTCGTTGGTTTGGGAATGGGCATTGCCACATGGGCCAGCATTTTGTAGTTAAAGGGATCACAAGGGAACAGAGTGACCTGTCAGTGGGAGGTGGTGCCCACTGCATCCTTGGATCTGATTTTATCCCTCGCAGCTCAATGCCTCCTGCGACTGCCCGCTTCTACTCCCCATATGGCTGGCCCTGGCTGTCTGCCAAGAGAAGCAGACAGAGGTGTGTTGTGTGGCCTCTCTATTGGAGCCCTAGTTGCCCAGCTGGCAGAATAAGCAAGGAATGGAGCTTCAGCCCCCCTTTTCCCCCCCCCCCCAACCTCTCATGTCAGCAGCTATGGGATTTATTTCTCTTTGTCACTAGAGATGGGCCCCCAACCAAACCCGCTGCTTCCAAAGGCCCCAGGCTTCTCAGCTGGCCCTTCGCCCTTCAGCAGCCTGGCCCTGGATCGGGGAGGCCAGGACCATAAGGCTGGTTTGGATACTGCTGCAGCCGTTGCCAATTGCATAGCTCCAGCCCCGTGCTGTGCCTTTTGTGGGCCCAGTGCGGCCCTGGCCCAGCCCAGTGGTGCCTGGTTCCGCAGGAGGCGGCTGCCGGGGCTGTGGTGGCGTTCCAGGCTGGAGCCGCTGCGCCAGCCCTGGTGACGTGGGTGAATAGCGGTGCCGGGGGAACACAGGCTCCTCTCTATTCTGCCTTCCCCCACCCCAAGCCTCCTGCCCAGCTGGAGCTCCAGAGGGTTTTGTTTGTTCAGCTTGGGAGCAGGGAGGGTGGAGTCAGGGAGGCCTTTCGTTCCCCTGCCTCTCCCACCCCACAGCCAGGGCAGGGCTAGGCTGGAGCTAGCCTGGGCTGGAGAAATAGCCCTGTCAGCAGCAGCAGCCAGGGCCCCCCAGTGCCGTGTCTGGCTCCACACCTCTCAGCTGCTCTGCGTTAGGCCACGCTTGGTTTAACCCTTGCCTACCAGCCCCAACTGCCTCTCTCAGCCCTGCGGGAGGGGCAGATGCTGCCTTTGGAACCAAGTACCTGAGCCGGCCTCTGGCCAGGGTGGCATGGCAGGGGTTAAAACTAGGTAGCAGCGGGGGCGCTGGCGCCTCGGAGAGTGGGGGTGGAGCAGGGTGGGGGCGTTATGAGGATATGTGCTTTGGGGAGAGGTCGGTGTATGCAGGTGATAAGCGGGGGAATAGTCCCGCTATTGTGGGGAACTTTCCTGGCTTCGGCACTACCCTGGTGAAGTGGGCTAGCGAAAGGATCTGAGTCCTTGCTCCCACTTCCTTTACCCAGTGGCCTCCCTGCCCTTGAGGACTCTCCTGCCTGGAAGAGTCCTCGTAACCCCGACAAGGCTGGGCCCAGGATTCCTGGGGGGCTTGACCCCCAACCCTGCTGTGGTCACCTAGGACACCTAGGGTGTCCCCACTCCGGGGTACTCTCTCCGCACTGGGCACTTCTCTGACCCACTGACCATTACATACAAGTTAAAGCAAATGCAAGTTATTTAATCAACAATTAATTTTAAAAAGAATAAGGAATAATGAGAAAGGTTAAAGGAAACACATCAACCCGCTCTGTGGCAGGGAACATCACAAACAGTGTCTCTGCAATGTCAGGGCAGTTCAGTGTCTGTTCCTTGTAAGTCCCAGGCCACCTTCTCAGGCCCTGGCTGTGCTGCAGGGATGCTGTGGGTTGGACACTTGCTCTGGTGGTGGTCACATGCTCTCAGGCTCTAAGTGGTAGGACCCTTCTTCCCAGTGTCGCCCCCACCCTGTCGGGGTTACGATCCAAGCCTGGCCTGCAGAGCCTCGTGGCTGAGGCGTCTCCCTGTGCTGGGCCCGCTGCCCAGGGTCCCCCTCGCTCTCCCCAGCTGCTCACCACACCCAGCTCTGGACTGCTCCAGCCCCAGCTCCACCACTCTGTCTCTGCACTGCTGCTGCTCTGCCTCCAGCTCCCTGGGCTGCTTCTTTGGCCCCTCTGGCTCTGGTTGCTGCAGCTCTGCTCCCAGGACAGGTCTGATCTGCAGGCTGCTTCTGGGACTCTGCTCCCAGCACTGACCTGCTTCCTGGGCTGCTTTTCTTGCCCCTCTGGCTCTGGTTGCTGCAGCTCTGCTCCCAGGACAGAGTCTGCTCTCTCTGGGCTGCTTTTCTGGTCCCTCTGGATCTGGCACAGCTCTGCTCCCCAGCTTAGTTTGGGCCTCTGCTTTCTCCTTGGCTCAGCCCCACTCTGTCTGACCCAGGCAAATCCAGCTCACATGGAGGACGGGACCTCCCTGGCCTCCTGACTCCCTGATTAGCCTGCCCACCCTGTCATTCAGGCTGACCTGGAGCTTTGGCCTCTCCCCATTGTTCCTGGGGGCCATTGTTCCTGGGGGCTGTCAGTCTCAGGGTCCTGATTCCCCATCGACCCTTCCCCCTTTTTAGTAGTGGGAGCTAGCAACTAAAACACCCCCACTGAATGTTAGTAAGGGGGCAACAGTCCCCTTACACAGGTGCAGTGAGAGAATGTGGAATAGAAGTGCAGTGAAGTGCCAGGGGAATATCAGCATGGGGGTAGGTGTAGGGGGTGGGTCAGTGCAATGCGGGATGTTGAAGGGAGGTGCAATGGGGTGTCGGGGGTTTAGCATGGTGCTGTGGTAGGCGGGGTGTCGGTGCAGTGGGGGGTTTGTAGGGAGATGCAATGGGGTGTCTCGGCGGGTTCAGTGTGGTGCTGTTGTAGGGGGTGTGTTAGTGGAGTGGGGGTGTCAATGCAAAGAGGGCATTGCAAGTAGGTGGAATGGGGAGTCGAGAGTTCAGAGTGGTGGTGTGGGGGTGCGTCAGTGCATTGAGGGGGTTGTAGTTAGGTGCAGTGGGGTGTCTCAGGAGCGTTCGGCCTAGGGAGGTGTGTGGGGCGGGGGGGGGCATTGTCTTTTCTACAGCTTCCGAGCTTGTATCTGTTTTGGAGTGTGATCACCTCCAGATGTAGCTTGTGTCCACAGACGTACTTGCTGTCCCAGTTTCCAACCAATCCCTTATCCCCCTTGTCAGCTGCCTCAGCTTGGCGTGTCCTTGGCTTCCAGCTTGGCCCACTGTCCATTTGTGCTGGGGACAGAACCCTCTAACGGGTACCTGTGCCAGCAGCTCGGCTCTTCCTCCCTCCCTGCTGTGTGCACTAGGCACCCCAGGGGTGCTCTGCGGGCGTGGGGAGAGAGCGGCCCAGACTTTCCCAGCATGCCCTGTTGTCCGCACAGCTCAGCCATGGGTGCCAGGCAGAAGCAGCTCTCTCAAGTGGTGCGTGTCGCAGTTGGGTCGAAGGAGCGTTGCCAGCTGGCTGCTGAAACGCTGTTGTGCTTGTAGCATGGGCAGGCCCGAAAATCTGGCTGATTTTGTGGTCTGGGCAGTAGCCTGGGGCAGCTGACTCTCGGGTGGGAGGCAGGCTGCATGCCCAACGGGTTGGCATAAGCTGTCTGCTCCGCTGAGGCAGGCAGCCCCAGCTGTTTGATTTTAAGACACTCTGCAGTCCTGCCTCTTAAGAAGCTTCCTTGGTGTAAGTCAATTAGAAATGGTGCTGGCTCAGTGATGTCTGCTATTGGGCCCTCTCCCCTGCCCCAGACTTCAGGGAAGGGTGGACTGGGGGGAGTTCCCTCATCACCCCATCCCACAAGGAGCCCTGAAGGGTCCTGCCTTTTGGGGTCTTACCCAGGGCACAGTTAAAGGGGAGGGTGCGCATGTGTGAATCTCTCTCTTGCCCCGTTCAGGCCTGGTGTGCATGGCCTGCATGTGGCTGGAAGGGAGGTTTGGGGGGTGTCACAGGCCACTACCCCCCCCCCCCTTAGCACAAGCCCTATCGGGAATCTCCTAGCCAGACGTGCATTGGGCTGCCTTTCTGCTGGGAGGGGAGGCTGCAGACCTACAGGTTCCTTCCCTTCCCTGCGGGAGAGCGTGCAGCCCAGATCTATCTCTTTTAAGGGGAGCCTCTGATTAGCCCCCCCGTCAGTCCCCTCCCCCGTCTGTCCCCTTGCGGGGAGCACACCATGACCTCCCCGTCCTTGCTGGATCTCGTGTGCTCGCCGTTGCCATGGCGAGCATTGTGTCTAAATATTGCAACCAGTTGTCAGGCTGCCTTTCCCTGCCTGCCCCTTCCTGGCTTCCAAAGCGCCCGGCGCTCGCTGGCGGAACGACCCGCTTTGCTGCGGCTTCTGCGTGGGTGCCAAGGGATGGAGGCTGGGGGAAGGAGCCGAACGCTGCCCGGCGAGGCGTCCCCACCTGGGGACAGGCGAACTGGCACGCTTTGGCGGCAGGGGAGGAGCCGGCAGCCGCAGGCTTGGCTTGGCACTCAGCCCCTCCCTTCCCTCCCCTCTCTGCAGCCCGTCCCTTTTAAGGAGCTCCACCCAGGGTCAGGCCAGGGTGGAGCTGTCAGACTATTCACACCTCACAGCCCAGGGCTGGCAGGCTAGACACACCAGCAGCAGGCAGCTCTTTATTCAGAGAGAGACTCCTCTGTGGAGGAGCAGAGCTCTCTGACTGCTTCGCGGTTGTGCATCTCCATGGAAGGCTGAAGGCTTGGGCCTGTGCAGACCCCGACGTGAACGTATATCAATAATAAGGTGCCGCCATTGGCCACATCTCTCCCTTTTTTGTTTTGTTCTTTTTTAATTCCCCTTCCGCGTTCTTCTGTTCACCTGAGAGGCGTGTGGGGAAGAAACTTGGCTGAGGATCTAGGGACCTCGACAGCGTGCTAAGTTGCCAGGTGTACAGGCCGGAGGAGGTGAGGGAGAACGGTGGACCCACCCTGACCGCCAGCCGGCAGAGCCCTGGGTTTTGCAGGGGGACCCCGACTGCACCCACACGGGCTGGTATCCCACCTCCTTTGCCTGCTCCCGGCCGCCAGGAACAGGAGCGTCGTGCAGACCTCGCGCGTGGTGAGGGGCAGCTGTTCGGAGCCCGGCTCAGGAGCATGATCCTCCCCGCAGACAGCATGAGCGCCGTGCAGTACCGGAGGAGCCCACCGCGTGCCGGCTGGGCGGTAAGTGGCTGGCTGCTTCTCTGGTGGGGAGCTGGGATGCTCCCCTTGGGGCAGGCTGCAATGCTGGGGTGGCATTTTCCACTCTTGTACTCCAGGGCTGCATGGCGTAGGCGAGCTACTTTCTGGGGGGGTCAGGATATCTCCCCAAGCCCTCACGGGGTACATCCCCGATCCTGCCCTTCTCCTTTTTAACAGCCGTTCTCACCCCCCAATTCACACATGCACCAGTCCTGGGCATGGCCCCAGTTCCCCCTCCCCCACTCTGCCATAGCAGCCCTGGAGAGGAGGGGGCACCCACTGGGCCTTAAAGCCATGGGATGGTTGCTCAGCCCTGGAGGGCTCTGAGTCCCCGGTCCCCTTTGGACTCCGAGGGCGGGCGGGTGTGTGCAGAGAGGGGGATGGGTGTGTGCCTGTCTCCTCCCCCAAAGCCAGTGCATGGGAGGCCAAAGCAGAAAGAGCTCCAGCGGGCTGCAAGGCCAGAGGCAGCAGGGTGCACTGCCCCTTTAAGAGGGGGCTGGGACATGGGGAACCTTTAAGGAGCAGATGGGAGAACAATTTGTGGCGTGTGCACTGCCCCTTTAAGGAGGGGAGGAGGAGGAAGGTGTGCCGCACCCACTCGCCTCCCCTGCTCTTTAAGAGCCTGATGCCCTCAGCCGACACTGGGTGGCAGCAGCAGGAGGGAGGACTGGCGGGGAGAAGGGGTGTTTGGGCTGTATTCCAGGTTTCGTTATGGTCCAGGATATGCACACACCTCCCTCTGCGGGGGTCCCCCAGTGTGGATGGGAGGTTTGCCTCACGTGGTTATTGTTGCATTCAACATCACGCAGTGGGGGATCTGCTCCCCCTCAGGGTGCTGCCAGTGCCCCTTTGTCTCTTTTCCTTTCCCTTGCCCTCTCCTCTGTTTTCCCCTCTGCATTTTCTTCCCTGCAGCAGCTTCCAGCTCCCACCTCTGGAGGGCACCATTCCCCCCACCCCCATTTTCTGTTCCATCTGGCAGTGGAATAGTGAATATTAACGTAGAAGTGTTGTCATTAGGCCTTAAAGATGACACCCCAGTGAGATTAGTAGGGGGCAGGGCTGTTCACCCCTCGGAGTTATTGTTTAAGGCTGTCTGCAGACTCAGGCAGACCTTGTGCCTTTACTTTACATTTGGGCCCCATTTTATTTCTGCAGCCAGGAGGGCTAGAAACATACTTTAAATGAATGCCACAATTCTGCACAGCCTGAATATGCGTCATGCGGGCCACACCAATACTTCATGAGGGCTGGATCTAGCCTGCGGGGCTGCATGTTGGTTGCCCCTGGTGTAGAAAGAGTCAGGGACCTCCCTGCTGCTAAAGCCCTTGGGAAGGAGGGGATAAAAGAGTGTTTCTTTCTCCTGAGTGATGCCTCTAACTGCTCCCAAGAAGCCCTTCTCCGTGCTGCCCCCCAGCTAGACAGGCCAGTCTGGGGAGCCCTGGGAAGGGCCCCACTGGGAGGATACACAAGCAATGCTGGGCTGTTATGTCCCGTCTGTTCTCACTTGTGAGATCATTGAGGATGAGGACAAGGCGAGTGGGATGATCTGGGGTGCCCCTCTGGGACTGGCCATGTGTGAAGTCTTCCGACTTCAGATCTCTCCTCCGCACCAGAGCCCTTCTGGGCTCCGCACTGAGTCCCCAGCTCCCCCAGAAGCCATCCCCAGCTGCTTTGAGTCCCAAAGAAAGTGTGTCCTTGGCTATGATTTGGTCAAGGACGGGACTGGGGTCTCTCTCCCCTGGTCACGAGAGTTTGTCCTGTTCTGGTTAGGAGGGGCGGAGATCCATCACCAGCTGGTGGGAAATGGGGCCAGGTGTTCCCAGCTGGCAGCAGTGGTGGAGCCCAGGTGGGTGCAGGTGGATCTCTGCCTGCCCCTGGGGCAGTGCTGTCTCTCTAGGCCAGAACTTCAGCCAGGGTTGGTATATGGGAAGGCTGAACTGTCTGTGTGCTGGGGAGACATGGAGGGCTCAAGGCTCCAGCGTTGTCACTGAAAGCCTGCCAGGCCTTTCCCATGCCCTCTCCCCAGTTTATCACCTGGCGAGCGCCAGGAAAGCTGAGCCTGCTGTGGAGCCGAATGGTTGGTCAGTGCAAAGTTGTTCCCCAAGGCAGAATCCTGAGCCCTTTGCAGTCTCGGAGCTACTCCTAATGCTGAATGTCATCCCAATGTGGCCTCCACAGCTTCTCCACCAGAACTCGGCCAGCACCTGATTACATGGAAAGGCAATGTCAGGACAGTGCTAAGAGGACAGGATGAAAATAAACTCGCCTTAAAGCAGTGGGTGCAGCTGTTTAGATACGTTTCTCCCTGCCCCCCTTTGTGTTCATCTCTTCTCTGGGGGCCAGGAGCTTTGCATTCATTAGTAACCAAATCTCCCCATGTTGCCTGCAACCCCTGCTGTTCCAATCTCTCCAGGTTCCCATATGCACTTCCCCCTCCACTTGTGGTGTCCTCTGCAAATCTGGTTATGGCTGAGTCAAGGAAAACCAGACAAAGAAATCCATAGGGATCTTGGGGCACTGAGTTCAGCTGATCCGAGACCCCTCAAGTGTCTTTGGCTGGGCTACTAAGAACTAGCAGGAAGCTTCAGGGCTTGAGGACGGAGAAGCTTCCTCTGTAGCTAACAGTGCTGCCCTTTAAATGATCATTCCTGGGCCGTCCGAATTCCAAGGCCATTGAGGGGAATGGGGCAGTTCACAGCTCTCAGAGCTATTGTATCAGGCTCTCAGCAGACATAGGGCATGTCCACACTTAAACCACTGCGCTGCTGTAGACACTCCCAGCAGGAAAGATGGAGGTGCTGTCTACACTGGGGTAACTGTGGTGTGGATTTTACACACTGCTGAGTGATGTAGTTGTGCCCACCCAATTTTCTAGTGTAGACCAGGCCTGTGCTAACTCGACTCAAACTAGGTGTAAACTGATTGAACTGTGCCCACATTAGGCGGATGCCTTGGTTAGGCTACACTTGATTAATCAAAAGGAGTACTTCTGGCACCTTAGAGATTAACCAATTTATTTGAGCATAAGCTTTTGTGAGTTACAGCTCACTTCATCGGATGCATAAAGTGGAAAAAGCAGTGAGGATGTTTTATACACACAGTCCATGAAAAAATGGGTGTTTATCACTTCAAAAGGTATCACTTCAAACCCCCCACCCCACTCTCCTGCTGGTAAAAGCCATTTTTTCATGGTCTGTGTGTATAAAACATCCTCACTGCTTTTTCCACTTTATGCATCCGATGAAGTGAGCTATAGCTCATGAAAGCTTATGCTCAAATAAATTGGTTAGTCTCTAAGATGCCACAAGTACTCCTTTTCTTTTTGCGAATACAGACTAACACGGGTGCTACTCTGAAACTTGATTAATCAGTGCAGCCTTTGCTGTCTAGACAAGGCCTTACTTTTGTGCAAACTGAAATTCTGGAACATCAGATGAAAACTTGGCAGAGATACTGGGATGGTCAATCCAACCCCAGAGTTACAAATCCCATCATACTAACCCTAATATGGGGATTTATTCCAGTTTTGCTAACCATAGCTACATAGTGTCTCCCTACATTTCCCCTGCAGTTTCAATTGGATATGGGATTGTAGGGTAATTGCTAGGATCATCTGGGTAGGTTTTACTTAACTCCCTGCCATTGCAGGGGCCTTGGCATTGGTGCACATTGGTCCCTCCTGTTTTCTGCCCATGGGCTGCAGTACTTCGGCTGAATTCTGGGTGTTGGGCTTGACGTGATATACAGTGGGTCAGACTGGATGATCTGACGCGCTCTGTTCTGGCACTTCCTGTCCTGAACTCTTGTGGAATGTTGCTGTTGAACAGTGGCCACGTTTCACTCCAGTGGTGGCTGCATCTCTGTGTGGAAGGGCCCTTGGGGATGAGCACTATAGAAATGTAAGCTTCTGTGGCTTTGAGTGTGATTCCTGAATCTCTGCTGGATACCAGCGAGAGGGAACGTGGGGAATGAGGCTGTTGCAGGCGGTGCGAATCCTATGTCTGATAGGGTCTTTTGGGGTGCAGTATGTTTGTTTGTTTTTTCCCGCTTGGTGCTGTCTGTGTGTGGGGGTTTGTGGGGGAGGAGAAAGGTGATGCTGAAGCAGACTGGAGAGACAATTCCATTCCATGGGCCTCATCTCTTGCTTTAGGAAGGAGCCAGGGCTTTGAAGTGCATGGGTGTGGGACAGTAGGTTTGGCTCTGTGTCAGGTCTGGTGTAGTCTTCTCTGCTGTGCATGGATCCGCCTCCTGTGTCCCTGAGGAAATAGCGAGAACGAGCTAGGAAACTCTCACCTGGGCTGAGCTCGGATACCCCAGCAATGAGCGTGTTATAAATACGCTGCTAGGGTTCTGCAGACTGGATTTCAAGCCCCGCGTTGATGCTCAGGAGCTGTGGTGTGTTTATGCCGAGCCTGTGGAATACTTTGGTGCGAAATGCTGGTCCTCCCAGTGCTGTTAGCCTCCAATATAAAGAGCTTTGCTGTATCTTGGCTTGTAGTTTCCTGGCATCTCCATCTCTGCTGATCCCTGGGATCTGAGAGCGCTCGCAATGTTTCCTCCTTTGGAGCCACTTCTGAATGCAACCCTTCGCTTGGTCCCCATGACCTTTGACCCTTGGTGCTGTGAGTCTGGGATCTCCTTGCTGTGAGGCCCCATTGCCCATCTTGGAAGCTGGGGTGACAGTTAGCCCCACGGTAAGGTCACTGAAGCTGGTTGGAAGGCTGGACTGGGCTGCTAGTTTGCTACCAACTGATGTAGCACGTTTTGTGGGGACCCTTCTAGATGGGTTTTCTATGGGGTCTCTGTATCTTGCCCGTGGGATCAATGTGCTCTGTTGGCTTTGTCCACGCTAAGCGTCTGTGCTCCGAATGTTTGTTGGCTGCCGCATGATATAGTGCGCTGTGAGGCACTGCTAAAAGGGACAGCTGGAGCCCGGCCCCCTGGAATCACAGGGCCACATGGCAATGCACTGAGGCAGCACT